ACCTTTTTTCCATTAAGATAGAATTTATCGAAGTAGAGGCATTAGGCCAACATAAAAAAAAGGAAAAAAGGTTTTTTTTTTGTCGAGCCTGGTGGCATACTTGTCACCACCCCGTTATAAAGGGGACGCTCATAGCATCCATCCATCCAGCAGGCACAAACAATGACATCTTTGGGACTTATGCGGATTCGGACGCACACCAATTCAAGGGAACATACAATGGGAATTTTAAAAGACATGAATTCCCCTGAAACAGCGATCAAGACACCGCCACCAGAACGCGAGCCACGGTCACACCTAAAAAAGGAAAATTTTTTGTCGCACTGCAGGATCTCACGGTTTTCAACTTTTGACGACAGCCAAGTTTCGGTCAAAACTATCACATCGGAAAGGCACGTGTTTACTAACGAAGACAAGGCATCACGCTTGTTGATAACGCTTCTGATATTACACAGCAAAAAACAAAGGATAAGGGGGTGCTGGGGGAATTGCAGAATGGGTTTCGGAAACAATCTGTTCTCGCTGACGCAGTGCATCGAAATAGCAGAAAAGGAACACAGGCCCCTGTGGCAAGCATTTTTGGATATCAAGGGAGCGTACGATAGCGTGGTTCAAGAAGCATTGTGGGGAATACTGGACTCACTAGGCGTGGAACATGTAGTCACTAATCTTTTAAAGGATATCTCTAAAGGTAACAAGGTAGTTATAAAGTGGGAAAAACAGGTATCCAAGCCTGCAGAGGTAAAACGGGGGCTTTGGCAGGGGTGTCTCCTGTCACCCTTACTATTCATGATGTACCTACAAGGAGTAGAGGCCAAATTAGAGGGAAGTGGACTGGGCTTCAACCTCTCTTTAGTCAAACAAGGAAAACTCATTGATCAGGCACTACCAGCATTAATGTACGCAGATGATATAGTGCTAATGGCCAACAACAAGGAAGATTTGCAGAGATTGATGGACATCTGCGGTAATGAGGGAGATAGGTTAGATTTTAGATTTAGTAAGGAAAAATCAGCAGTCATTATTTTCAATGACAACGAAGGTAGTGCGCTTAGAATACAGGAAGTCACACTAGAGATAACAGATAAGTACAAATATCTCGGCGTATGGATAAGCAATGGGACTGAGTACCTGAGGGAACACGAAATATACGTGACGACTAAAGGTAACAGGAATGCAACAGTGATGAAAAATAGGGCACTGTGAAATGACAATAGGTATTATGTTGTGAGAGGAATATGGAAAGGGGTCATGGTTCCTGGGCTGACGTTCAACAATGTGGTCTTGTGCATGAGATCAGAAGTTCGAGCAAGATTAGAAATTAAGCAACGTGGAATAGGTAGGCTTGCCTCAGGAGCTCACGGGAATACACCAAATCAGGGAGTACAAGGTGATATGGGATGGACATCACTTGAGGGCAGGGAAGCTAGCAGCAAGATAAACTTTGAGGAGCGATTGAGAGAAATGGCGGAAGAGCGTTGGGCTAGGAAGGTTTTCAGCTACAGGTACATGAATAATATCGATACAAAATGGAGGAAGCGAACCAGAAAATTTACTGGTATATACTTAGAAAACAGCAGATGGCCAAACCAAAAAGAACTATCGGTTAAGAAGAAAGTGAAAGAAACGGAGACTGACATGTGGAGAATGGGCATGATTAAGAAGTCCGCACTAGAGATCTATCTAACTTTTAAGCAGGAAATTGCCTAGGAAAGGATCTATGATAATACTCGGGGTAGTTCTCTACTGTTTGAGGCCAGGACGGGAGTGCTGCGAATCAAGACATATCGGGCCAAATGTGAAGGGGTAGACACAGTATGCAGTGCGGGTAGAGAGGAAGAAGAAACTGCCGAACACTTGACAATGTTCTGTAAAGGGCTTTACCCTATAGTTCAGGATGATGGCGCAGAGTTTTTCAAAGCACTGGGGTTTTGGGACCGGGAGGGCAAAATAGACTTTAAGCGTGAGACTTAACTAGAAGGAGGTTATCTGATTGGTGGCTAAAGTCAAGGCACGAGTGAAAATTAAACCCTTCACTGCTAGGTACGAGTCCTCAAACTCAATTTTTAAAGAAAAAAATAAATCTAGTTTTTGGTTCATTAAGTATTACGGCTTGGTGGCGCTAGCCACCGCCCTATCTAAAGGGTACAGCCATATCCATCCATCCATACATCCATTCAGCGTGCAGCTGTCATCGTCATCTACATCATCTTCAATGGCGCGGCGCGAGGTTTTGTGATAGCGGCCAGACACGTCTCTAATCAGACCACCGGATCGTCGGACGTTACGTGACGATTGTGCCAAGTGCTGGGCGATGATTGAGGGGATCGCTTTGGTCATTTTGCGGTAGCAGAGGTCATGGCCACGGACATTTGATTTTCTAAGGCATTAAGACGGGCGTCCATGGGGGCTTCTAGACGAGCCTCTAGTGCAGCTTCCACGCTCAGTGCTGCCGCCGGGGCCGTGGGCTCACTCTTCGTAGCCTCAGTTGCGGGTGAGGAAGAATTAGCTCTTTCAATTTTGATTCTAGTAGCGCTATTCTTTTTAAATGCGAAGCATTTCTTAGAGAACTTTGGTGACTTGGAGCATATCTATCTATATCCATCTAGCCACCTACGACTTTTAGCTCTCCTGGCCATTTCAATAATGATATCGTTACGAAACTTCGTATGGCATAACATGACTGTATGAAGAACATATTTGACTTGTCATAACATAAAAATCATAGCATGCATGTCATGATTGTGATGATTTACATTTCATGGTCCTGCAGCTCTTGCGGTGGTTTCGCTTACATGGCATGTTGCAAAACTGATATGGTATGGCATGATTACATGGCGAACACTAGAGAAAGACCCTAACCTGAAAATCATGACATGCGTGTCATGTACCAACATGACTACATGCTATGCTCATGATGCGCTCGTGGCCATTTAGCTAGCTTCACATGCACCAAAGTCGGTATTACGTGACGCCAATGGATGACGAAGGGATGTGACTGGTGCAAACATGATAACAATGAGATGCATGTCATGTGAGAACATGACTACACGCCACGCTCATGATGCGCTTGCGGCCGTTTCACTAGCTTCACTTATACCAAATTTGGTATTACGGGACGCGAATAGATGACGAAGGTATGATACTGGTGCAAACATGATAAACATGAGATGCGTGTCATGTAACAATATGACTACATGCTACGCTCATGGTGTGCTCGCGGCCGTCTCGCTAGCTTCATATATGCCAAATTTGTTATTACGTGACGTCAATGGATGACGAAGCTATGTGACTGGTGCAAACATGATAATTATGAGGTACGTGTCATTTGGGAACATGACTACATGCCACAGTCAAGGCGCATATACATTTAGACGTGACGCGGTGTGCGTGCTCACTGCCATCTATTTCGTCAATTCACGCCGGCTTTGCCACGCCATGCACCAATCCTGTCATATACTCGCAAGCGCGTGATGTGCTGCGTTGCTTCGACGCATACGCGTTTCAGCGCGTACGGCATTCCTTCGTCATGAAAGGGGTACACGCAGTGTTGCCTGGGTAATGCATCGGCATGAAATGCAGCATGTCGCATTTTGCGCCGGTTGCCGTCGGGCCGCACCGACGGACGCTGGTCGCGCCTGACATCAGACTATAGAGTGCTCGCGTTTTGCTAACATAGCGTCGCTGTGCCGAGCGTGCGCGTGCGTCAGCGCTACATCGGAGTATATAAGGCTTTTTATGATGCGCTCGCGGCCATTTCGCTAGCTCCACATATATCAAATTTGGTGTTACGAGACGTCAATGGATGACGAAATATATGACCGGTGCAAACATGATAATCCTGACACGCGTGTTATGTAAGAGCATCACAACATACTACGCTCATAGCGTGCTCGCGGTCGTTTCGCTAGATCCACATATACTAAATTTGGTATCACGTGACGTGGATAGATGACGAAGGTAAACGACACATTTAAATATGATAATCATGATACGGAAGTCATCTACGACATCATTTACCTCCACCTCATCTCGTTGTACTGATTTGAAAGTGGCATATTAACATTTTTCATTCGTGCTTCGAATATCATCGATTCCCACTGTACGTGAGATCTCCCAATTTCAGGGGCGAAGCTCCTTATAGCGGCACCCGTTTGTCCTTCGTGGTCGTAGTTGTAGTGTGTAACCGGTATTACATTTTGACCTCCAAGGTGGTGCCGGTGAGAGATTTCTACTGTGCGTTGTTGAACAATAAAAGATAGTGCTTAATGTACATGCCAATGGCTTGTAAGGGAGAATGAGAGACAGGAGAATTCGGCAACGCACAGAAGACAAGAAAGGGTTGCTACGTTATACTCGCTGGGCGTAACCTCCTAGGTTTTAGAAAGGTTTAGCGAGCGTTGGGCCGCAGTGCCATGAATACAGTGAACTAGTATATACCATGAACTCAAGGTGGTTAAAAGTGGGAAGTAGACACGAAGCGCAAGCCGTAAGAAAGTGTCCGTGTGCCTCCTCTCGTTCAGTCTTTGGAATGTCCGCTCGATGGCAGTGCTTCCATATGAGGAATAGATGATGAAAAGATGCGAGATGGTGGTACTTGGAGTGTTGAATAGGTGGACGAACGGACACACAGACAGATGCATGGACGGACGCACAGATGGCTGCACGGACAGATAGACGGACGCAGGAGCGGACGCATGGGCGAAAGCAAGGACGGACGCATAGATGAACGTGCGGACGCACAAACAGACGCATGCACGGACGGGCGCATTGACGCATAGGCGGCCACACTGACGCACGTATGGATGGACGGAAGCAAGAACGAATGGACGGACGGATGCTTCGCCCCACTATCCATCATTCACTCCGTGGATATGCTGCCATTTCATTAGTAACATCTCAATTTTGCCCTCGAGAGCTGCTATCTTAGTTTGCTCGGCAGTGCGTTCCACAGGGGGGGGGGGGGGGGGAGGAGGGGTGGCCCTGCCCATACCGCTCACCTGTGTTCCATGTTTTGCAACGTTGGCCCAGGTTCTGTTCTCGCTGCGTTGTGGCGTCGTCGACACTTTTTCGTTGTCGCCTTGTGGTGGTGGCTGCGTCGACGGCCACTTGCTGTCGTTGCCAGCAGATGGTGCCGGCTTCGCAGTGTTGTAGTCCTCCCGGCTCGGTGGCTTACCGGGGCGTATTCGGAATTGCTGGTCCCACATCGCACGAAGGAGGGAAAATAAAGAGTGCGAGAAGGACGCGAGCGCCAGCGTCATGATTGCTCGCGCGCTATTGGTTCCTCTCTGTAGGTGACGTGCACGCCTGTAGGTAACGCGCACGCCTGTGACGTGCAGGTGACGCACGCACGCGCCCGCGATGAAATATGCGGAGTTTTTTCCGGCTGTTCCTTCGTACGGAAGCACCCACAACCTGCCGTCACACTCTTTCTCTACCTTTTCTTTCTGCCTTTCGGCGTCCCTCTTGCCCTCTCCCCATAAGAGCTAATCTGAACCATGCTACCCGCCAGAGTTGCAGAAGAGTGACTGTTTTGAAGACGATAATCTTTCTAGCGAATCTTCAAAGCAAAAACTTTGGTCTGTCTGTCTGTCTGTCTGTCTGTCTGTCTGTCTGTCTGTCTGTCTGTCTGTCTGTCTGTCTGTCTGTCTGTCTGTCTGTCTGTCTGTCTGTCTGTCTGTCTGTCTGTCTGTCTGTACGTTTGTCCACTCTTAACAGCAACAGATACTTAAAACGGCCAACCCCATCCGCAGCGCCCGCCAATGTTGCTCAAGATTTAGCATTCATATTTGTGTCATTGTCAATTAAAAATCAAATATTTTTTGTTTTATTCAATTAACCACTACTACATACACGACACTGCTGGTGGGGTCAATCAATCAATCAATCAATCAATCATTTTATTTCCTTTAGATAAACTGGAGTACAGGACTAAAAGCTCAAGAGCTTGACGAAGTCCTGACCCCATTCACATGTCGACAAAGCAGGAATGGCAGTCAATCATGTACAACAAATATGAAATAAACATACAGGTATAACATCACAAAAAAGTAATACAAAAAGTTTATGAAAACAGTGCTAAGATAAAAAGAGAGTAGTTCAAATGTATGGTCATGAAGTGGCATGAACATGAAAAGCAATAATAAAAGGAAAGAATGGGCATAAATTCTGAGAGATGTATCATTGAGGATAATGTATCAGTTGGGCGAAGTGTTTAATCTGACAGTTTTGTTTAGAGGAAGGATCGAAATCTTCGCGGTTTAAAAAATTTAACAAAGAAGGTAGTCTGTAGGACAATGATTGTTTGTCATAAAAGGTTCTTGAGGTGGGTACAGTCCAAACTTCTTTGTGTCTGGTGAGTCGAACACTTGTGTTTACGCTAAGTTTAGCAAGATGTATTGTGGTATTGGTACAATGTTTGACAAACTCTTTATAGCATAACATCAGCCTGTAGTTGTACGAAAAGAAAACTGGAAGAATATCATATTTTAGAAAAAGAAGTTTTGTAGAGGACAGATAGTGTTCAGCCGCAATATGTCGTACGGCCCTTTTCTGTAGTAAGTGCGCAAATTCGTCACACCGGTTGTGCACCACACTAAGCTACAGTACTGTAACAAAGATGATACCAGTGCATTGTATATCATAATTTTGACCTTGGTGGGAAGAAGAGATCGCATACGTGCAAGGACACCAATGGCCGATGACATCTTAGAGTATAGAATATCAACATGTACATTCCACGTAAGGTGTCGTGAAAAATATACACCAAGAATACTAACAGAATCAACCATGTCTAACTGCTGAGAGCCCAGAAATAAGCTCATCTTATTTATCAAGGTTTTTCCTTTAGGCGTATATAAAATGACTTCTGTTTTTGAAGGGTTTAGTTTTAGTAAATTCACTGAAGCCCAGGTATCTATAGCAGACAGTGTTTCATGAGCCATTTCTTCTATCTCTGTTTCCATGCTCCCTGTAATAAAAACTGTTGTGTCCTCGGCGTAAGAGACAAATGTTGCGTTGTTTGTGCAGTGTACAATGTCATTAATATAAATCAAAAATAAAAGTGGCCCTAAAATACTTCCTTGTGGCACACCTACAACGACCGGCTTCCTTGCAGATATTTCATTGTTGGCATCTACGAATTGTGTCCTGTCTGAAAGGTAGGATTTTAAAAGAGCATGCGCTGTCCCACGCTTACCATAATTTTCTAATTTGCTGAGAAGGATGAAATGATTGATTAGGTCAAATGCCTTAGAAAAATCGACGTATATGCTTAATGCCATTTTTTTACGACTAAATGCGTCTATGATTAATTTCTTTATGAGTCAAGAGGGCTGTTTCAGTAGAGCGATGCTTCCTGAACCCATGTTGAATATCTTGAAGCAAATTGCGGTGATTAAAAAATGATAACAATCTGATATGCAATAATTTTTCCATTGCTTTTGAAAACACTGGGATTATTGAAATAGGTCGATAATTGTTAATGTTCTCTTTAGTACCATGCTTGTAAACAGGAACAATGCGTGAAATCTGCATTTATTTTGGAAATACACCTGTAGATAATATTAAATTATAAATATGGGTAAGAACAGGGCATATGATGTCAAGCACATGCTTTATGGGGTGAATCTGGATAACATTGGCGTCCAAGGAGCGGCTGTTACTAATAGTACAGAAGCAAGAAAAAATTTCCAGTGGTGTAGTTGGGGAAGAAATAGAGTGTTACTAAACGTATTTACAGGCAGGAACTGAGCATAGTTATCGAGGCCATCAATATTATTTAACTGAGTTTTTAATGAAAACAACTCATTAAACGCATCCGGTATCGCCTTTCCCGAAAGTTTTTGGTCATTGTGACTCAGAACGTCCGGAAGTACTGAAAGTGAAGTAGGCTTTAACAAAGCATTCAGTTTGCGCCAGACTACATCACTTTTTTGATTGACTGGGTCACTAAACATTGCTACGAAATAGGCATTCTTTGCAGACCTAAGCTGACTGGTTAGACTATTTCGATATTTTTTAAATTTGCTTAGGAGGGGTGGATCTCTAGACTTCACAAATTGAGCATACAGGGCATGTTTGCGTTAATTCATACGAAGAAGCTCAGGCGTTAGCCAACGTTTGCGTGCCCTGGATGCCCGTGCCACTTTTTTCTTGGGGAAATGATCATGGTAGAGTGTTTGGAAAGTGCGAATAAAAGCATTGTATGCAACGTCACTATCTTTCGATCTGTAAACGCTATGCCATGCCTCCTGGGCAATAACTTTGCGAAATTCTTCAAGATTTGATGGGGTAATAGATTGAATAAGAACTGGCTTTGTAGTTTTACTAGCAATGAAGTGCATTCGATTTACCAGTAATATAATACCTAGGTGATCACTAATGTCAGTGTACACAACATCGGCCTCTAACAAGTCGATGTTAGTGTTTGAGATGAATACATCTAACAGGGATGCACCGTCGATAGTCACACGTGTTGCAGAAGATATCGTGTTTGAAAAACCGTAAGTTGTGATGAGTGAAAGGAAATCTTTTTGTAACGAGGATGATGAAAGTATGTTTATATTGACGTCACCACCTAAGACCAGGCTGATTTTCTCTTCTAATGAATAGCTGAAAAGCTCTTCAAGGAATGCAAAAAAAACTTGTATCACCAGATGGAGGTCTGTACATAACGGAGAACATGTTGTTACTGCTCTGCACTGTTAACACCTCATAATCAGGGGTTATATCAGTAAATTCGACCATGAGCTCAGCCAAGATATTTTCCTTGAGAAAGAGGGCGATACCACCCCCTCGCTTATCACGACGATTTCGGAAGAACGATTGACAGCCAGGAAGCTTAAACATGTCCGTAGTGGGCGTTAACCAAGTTTCAGTTAACATTATTACTGAAAACGATGTTCCGAAAGTGTCGAGTAGCAAGCTGAAATCGTCTATTTTGTTTGGCAGTGAACGAACGTTTTGATGAAAAAACGTCATTTTCGGTTTTTTAGCTGAGACTAAATGTTTAATTCCGGAATTTTGGACAGGTTTCCTGTGCTTCCAATGACACACACCCGGCTGTCCTCTGTTTCCCTCGCCTTGATACGACAACCATCAGTCCAAAGAAACTTCCACTTTTTTTCTTTTTTCAGAGCTAATGCCCGTGCAAGAAGGCGCTTGGTTTCAGGCGTCAAGTGTTTATTGATTTAGATTGGAACGGCCAAGGTCTGTGGGATGTCAACGTCTGCCGTAGTTAACCTAGCTTTCCTAGCTTGGCTGATAAAATCAGCTTTCTTTGTTCTCACGCAAACTTGGTCTATTATGTTTTTGTCCTTCTTGGCGGGTACACGGTGAATGACGTCAATGTCTGTAGAGGTCACTGAACACCCTATCTTGTCCCAAGTTTTTGTAAGATGGCTTTGCAGTCTTCCTCTTGCACGCAAGGTATACCTTTTATTTCAATGTTGTTGACACGAGAGTATTGCTCTGAATTAGCAAGTCTTCTTGCTAGGTCCTCGTTTTCTTTTCTCAAAGTTTGTTGTCCAAAGCTAACGCTTCCTGATCTTGTTTCATTTTTTCGTACAGTGAGTTAAACATATCAGGGCTTTTGCGCATTTCTGTCACCTCTTTTCGATGTGCGACAACCTCACGCGACAATTCAGCATTCGTGACCATGATTCAAAAGGGAAAAAAAATACACCGGGTTGGCAGCAGCAGGTGTGGCAAGTATGAACAATGGAAAGTTTCAATGGAATAAAACTAACCTGCGTAGTGAAATTCGTTGGTTTAGCGACAGAAAGCCTGTTGCCAAAGCCGCTGCTGCCAACCGTTGTCGACGTAAGGTCCCTAGATGTTTCATCTAGGGACCTTAGGTTGACGCTCATGTGCGAACTAAAGTTCGAAATTACCATCTGAAGTTCAATCCCATGCACCGCGCTTCTGTCACACACCATACCCGTTCCAACTGCCCTTGCAGAAACGCGATTCCAACTGTCACGGCAGATGCCCAGACGCTCACGTCTGAATTAGACGCCAGCACATCAAACGTGAAGCGTGTTTCGGTCAACGACATGGTTCCGAATGACGTGGCAGCCACGCGCACAATTACGTACGAAATAGACACCAGTTCAGCCGGCCATTCTGACGTGAAGTGCCTCCTAGTCGACCTTTGCACGGACGGATGCGCACGAGTGGCTCGCCAGCTTCAGCAA